ACCTCGTGCGGTCCGAGAACGGGTTCCCGTTGGCCGACACCGCGTGGTCGGTGATCGGCGTCTCCGGCGAGGTGCTCGCCGAGCATGTCGGCGCCTATCCGACGCTGATCCTGGCGGCTGGTGAATACACCGCCATCGCGAACCATCGCGACGCGATCTACCAGCACACATTCGATGTGGTCGCCGGGCGTGACGTGACCGTGCGCGTCATGGCCAGTGAGGAAAACGCGCAGTAGGCCGGCGTCCGGCTCCGCCTCAGCCGCAGGGACCGGCTTTCACCTCTTCGGTGCGGGCACCGCCCTGGCCGCGCGGATCGAGGTCGAAGACGCTGTCATGCAGATGCTGCAACAGCACCTTGCGGTCCTTGATCTTTTCGAGATCGTCCCACGGCATCACCTCGCCGATCCACGCCTTGATCTGCTTGCCGTAGAGCCGCTGGAATTCGCGGATCAGAAGCGAGGTGCGCAGCGTCAGGGAAAACTGGCTGACCAGATGGAAGACGCGGCCGTTCTGCCCCTCGAAATAGACCGGAATGACCGACGCCCGTGCCGTCTGCACCAGCCGCGCCACGAACATCTTCCAGGGCAGGTCCTGTGCCCGGCCCAGCCCCTTGGGCGCGGTGGCGACGCCGCCGGACGGGAAGATGATGATGGTCACACCTTCCTTGAGAAGCTGGACCGCCTCCTGCCGGGTCTTGAGGTTGAGCGCCAGCGCTTCCTTGGTCTCCTCGAACGAGACCGGCAGCGAATAGGGCCGCATCTCCGGCACCTTCATGAGATCGTTGTTGATGATCACCCGGAACGGGCGACCCAGCCGTTCGGCCAGTGACAGGAACGCGATCCCGTCTCCGATGCCGTAGGGATGGTTGGCGATCAGCACGAGCGGCGTGTCGGGAAGGTTCGTCGGAGGCCACTCGCCGCCCGCGTCGAGCCGGACCTCGATCAGGTTGAGCATTTCGGTGAAGACGTCGTCGCGCTTGCCGAAAATTTCGCTGCGCCAGAACTCGTAGAGATCGGCCAGCCGCTCGCGGCCCGACATGTTTTCGACCGTGCGGATCAGCCAGCGCTTGACCGGCGGATCGGTGGGCCGCGCATAGGACAGTTCGGCAAATCTGACGCTGCGTGGCATGTTCGGTGACGGCCCGGCCCCTGGTCGTGGTGCGCGAATGTATCAAGTTCGCTCGATCCTGTCCCGCGTTTCCGGGACAGGATCGATGCGACGTTTACGCGGCGGCGCGCCCATCGGATTGCCGCGCCCGCTTGATGTCGGGCGGCGTCGCCTCGTCGGCCAGTGCCGCGACCACCTCGTCAAAGCCCAGCATGGTCTGGTCGCGCGAGCCCAGCCGACGCATCGACACGGTGCGTTCGTCCGCTTCGCGGCGCCCGCAGACCAGGATCACCGGCACCTTCTGGACCGAATGTTCGCGCACCTTGTAGTTGATCTTCTCGTTGCGCAGATCGGTCTGGACATGCAGGTCGGCGCGCGTCAGCGCCGCCGCCAGCTCCTCCGCATAGGGGTCGGCTTCGGAGGTGATGGTCGCCACGACGACCTGTACCGGCGCCAGCCACAGCGGCAGGTGTCCGGCATGGTTCTCGAGCACGATGCCGAGGAACCGTTCCATCGAGCCGCAGATTGCGCGGTGCACCATCACGGGCTGCTTCTTCTCGGAGTCCGAGTCGATGTAGAAAGCGCCGAACCGTTCCGGCAGGTTGAAGTCGACCTGGGTCGTTCCGACCTGCCAGTCGCGGCCGATCGCATCCTTGAGCGTATATTCGAACTTGGGTCCGTAAAACGTCCCCTCGCCCTCATTGATGCCCGCCGTGATGCGGCTATCCTCGCGCACCATGCGTTCGAGCGACGCTTTCAAGATGCCCTCGGCATGGTCCCAGGCCGCATCGGTCCCGACACGTTTTTCAGGACGCGTCGCCAGCTTCACCTCGACTTTCTCGAAGCCGAAATCGGCATAGACCGACATCATCAGATCGTTGATCTTCAGGATCTCGGCCTCGAGCTGTTCCTCGGTACAGAAGATATGCGCATCGTCCTGGGTGAAGGCGCGCACCCGCATCAGCCCGTGCAGCGCGCCGGACGGCTCGTACCGGTGCACCACGCCGAATTCGGCCAGGCGGATCGGCAGGTCGCGGTAACTCTTGAGCCCGTGCTTGAAGATCTGCACATGGCCCGGGCAGTTCATCGGCTTGAGCGCAAAGGTGCGCTGGTCCTCGACGTCGGGATCGGCAGAGCGCACGCCGAACATGTTCTCCTTGTACCAGCCCCAATGGCCGGACGTTTCCCAAAGGTCGGAGACCAGCACCTGCGGCGCGTTGACCTCGTCATAGGCACCCGCAAGACGCCGCCGCATATAGGCGATCACCGTCTGGTAGATGCGCCAGCCCTTGGCATGCCAGAAGACCGTGCCCGGCCCCTCTTCCTGGAAGTGGAACAGGTCCATCTCGCGGCCGAGACGCCGGTGGTCGCGCTTTTCGGCCTCCTCGATCATGTGCAGATAGGCGTCGAGCTCTTCCTGCGTCGACCAGGCCGTGCCGTAGATGCGCGACAGCATCTCGTTGTCGGAATCGCCGCGCCAATAGGCGCCGGCCACCTTGGTCAGCTTGAAGGCATTGCCGATCTGGCCCGTCGAAGCCATGTGCGGCCCGCGGCACAGGTCGAACCATTGCCCTTGCGCGTAGATCTTGACGTCCTCGCCCTCGGGGATCGCGTCGACCAGCTCCACCTTGTACCGTTCGCCCATCTCGGCGAACACCTTCTTTGCCTTGTCGCGCGGCCAGACCGCCTTTTCGAACCTTTCGTTGCGCTTGATGATCTCGCGCATCTTCTTTTCGATGACCGGCAGGTCGTCGGGCGTGAACGGCTCGTCCTTGGCGAAATCGTAGTAAAAGCCGTTCTCGATCACCGGGCCGATGGTGACCTGCGTGCCGGGCCAGAGTGCCTGCACGGCCTCGGCCATCACATGGGCCGCATCGTGCCGGATCAGTTCGAGCGCACGCGGGTCGTCGCGGGTCACGATTTCGATCGTGCCGTCCTCGACGGGATCGGCCAGGTCGCGCAGTTCGCCGTCGAGCGCGATGGCGACCGCCTTCTTGGCAAGCGATTTGGAGATGGATTCGGCGACAGCGCGGCCGGTCGTGCCGGCGTCGTACGCGCGTTCGGAGCCATCGGGGAATACAAGTGAAACACTGCCGGAAGCGGCCATGGTGTGATCTCCTTTCCAGTCCCGCCAACACATGCGGGTGGTTCTGTTGCACGGCGCAGATAAGCGATCGCGCCGGGCGGGTAAAGGGCCCGCGCAGGCGGCCCGGGGGAAGGGAAAATCGCCGGCCACGCCCTTGTGCAATGGAATCGGGTTTGCTATCGGCTGCGAGCCCGCTAACGCGGGCAATTCTGGCGGTGTGCGGCCGTGGCGGAATTGGTAGACGCGCAGCGTTGAGGTCGCTGTGGGGCAACCCGTGGAAGTTCGAGTCTTCTCGGCCGCACCAGCCACACGCCCCACAAGTCCTCTGGCAAAATGCTGGACGAACGGGTGGAGCGCGGGACGATGGACCAGACGGTGACCGGTGGCCTTGCCTTCCTGTCTTCCGGCACGCCCGAGGCCGATGAGTCGGCCCGCCACCTTGCCGCACTTTACGGACAATCGGCGACCGCCGATGCCAGCACGATCGTCGCGCTGGGCGGCGACGGCTTCATGCTGCAGACCATCCACCGTTTCATGAATTCGGGCAAACCGATCTACGGCATGAACCGGGGCTCGGTCGGCTTTCTGATGAACGAATATGGAGAAGACAGTCTGCGCGAGCGGATCGCCGCCGCCGAGCGCGAGACCATCCGGCCCTTGCGGATGACCGCCATCGGCGAGGACGGCACCGCGCACCGCGCGCTGGCGATCAACGAGGTTTCGCTGTTCCGCCAATCCTACCAGGCCGCCAAGCTGAGGATCACGGTCGACGGCAAGGTGCGCATGGAGGAACTGGTCTGCGACGGCGTCATGGTGGCAACGCCTGCGGGCTCGACCGCCTACAATCTGTCGGCCCAGGGGCCGATCGTGCCGATCGACGCGCCGCTTCTGGCGCTGACCCCGGTGAGCGCGTTCCGGCCAAGGCGTTGGCGCGGCGCGCTGCTGCCCAACCGGGTGACGGTCGACATCCAGGTGCTGGAAGCGTCCAAGCGCCCCGTCAACGCCGTTGCCGATCACACCGAGGTCAAGTCGGTGCAAAGGGTGACCGTGCGCGAGGCCCGTGACGCGACGGCGACGATCCTGTTCGACGCGAACCACTCCTGGGACGAGCGTATCCTGGCCGAGCAGTTCCGCTACTGAAGCGGCCTGCCGCTCCCTGCCCGCCGCCGCGCCTCCGCTTCGGAAAATTGACATCACGCAGTGCGACAAATAGTCTCAATCGGCTTTCAGGGAGGCTTACCATGATGCGATTGATCCTCGCGGGACTGATGGCGAGTTTGGCCACAGCCGCGTTTGCTTGTCCGGATTATACGATCTGGGGCGACAAATACACATTCTCGGGCGACGAACTGTATTCGCCGAAATCGCTTTCGGTGGTCGCTGGCGGTCAGAACAGCCTGACCAAATGCGGCATCAGGGCGCAGAACTATCGCGGCGCACTGCCGGGCTACACCACCAGCAGCCCAGACTTTTCGATCACCGTCCAGGGCATCAGCGGCTACTCGATCGAGTTTCGCGTGCGCAGCGAGTGCGACTCGGTGCTTCTGGTGAACACGGCCGCGCGCAACTGGTATTTCGACGATGACGATCTGGGCGCCGGCGACGCCAAGATCCGGCTGACGCGGCCGGCCGGCGACGGGATCTTCGACGTCTGGGTGGGCACCTATGACGGCAGTTCGTGCGATGCGCGGCTGATCATCGAGACGTTCTGAGCGCGTCGCGGACCGCTCAAACATGAAAAACGCCGGACGGTTGCCCGTCCGGCGTGATGAAAGCGGGCGGCCAAAACCGCCCGTGTCTTGAAGGCTTACATGATGCCTTCGGGCACGATCACCTTGTCGATCACATGGATGACGCCGTTCGACGTTTCGATGTCGGCGGTCACGACGTTGGCATCGTTGACCATGGCGCCATTGTCGAGATCGATCGTGATGTTCTGGCCCTGGACGGTGGCGACCGAAGCATCATCGACCAGGTCGGTCGACATCACCTTGCCGGCTACCACGTGGTAGGTCAGGACTGCGGTCAGCGCGTCCTTGTTCTCGGGCTTGAGCAGTTCTTCAACGGTGGTTCCGATCGCCGCAAAGGCTTCATCGGTCGGCGCGAAAACCGTAAACGGTCCTTCGCCCTTCAGCGTTTCGACGAGGCCGGCGGCCTGAACCGCGGCGACCAGGGTCTCGAAGTCGTCGTTTGCTGCGGCGGTGTCGACGATATCCTTGGCGCCCATGCCGCCGGCGAGCGCGGCGCCGGTCATGATGCCCGTGGCAGCGATGGCAGCGATGGCGGTCTTGATGATTGTCATCGAATAGTCTCCCGTATTGAGGTGTGACGAGATGCGCGGTCATTGCGCGCCTCACACCCTTCTACGCACAGCCAGGCCGACGGTTCTTCCAGACGGGGGTGAAGACAACGATGCGGCTTTGAACCCGGCGGGCCTTTAAAGTCACAATTGCCGTCATAAGCGGCCCAAATGCCTTTGATTCCGGGGGTTCTGGTTGACATTGGGCCGGCTTTTGCCTATCGCCGGCGCAGGAGCGCGGCCCGAGAGGGGCTTGGCGCACATCCCAAACCCAAACGGATATTACTTTTGGTCGCATTTGCCGAACTTCCCTTGTCACCCAAGGTGATCAAGGCCGTCGAGGACGCCGGTTACACAGAGCCCACGCCGATCCAGGAACAGGCGATCCCCCATGTGGTCGCAGGCAAGGATGTCCTCGGCATCGCCCAGACCGGAACCGGCAAGACCGCCTCTTTCGTGCTTCCGATGATCACGCGCCTGGAACGCGGGCGCGCGCGGGCACGCATGCCGCGCACGCTGATCCTGGAGCCGACGCGCGAACTGGCCGCGCAGGTGGACGAGAACTTCCAGAAATACGGCATCCACCACAAGCTGTCGGTGGCCCTTCTGATCGGTGGCGTCTCGTTCGACGATCAGAACCGCAAGCTGGAGCGCGGCGTCGACGTCCTGATCGCAACGCCGGGCCGGCTGCTCGATCACACCGAACGCGGCAAGCTGTTGCTCAACGGCGTCGAAATTCTGGTGATCGACGAGGCCGACCGGATGCTCGACATGGGGTTCATTCCCGATATCGAGCGGATTGCCGGCCTTATTCCCTTCACCCGCCAGACGCTGTTCTTCTCGGCGACCATGCCGCCGGAGATCGCCAGCCTGGCCGACAAGTTCCTGTCCGCGCCGGTGCGCATCGAGGTGGCCAAGGCCTCGTCGACCGCATTGACCGTCGAACAAAAACTCCTGAAGACGGGCTCCAAGGACTTCGAGAAGCGCGCCGCGTTGCGGGATCTTCTGCGCTCCCAGGACGACATCAAGAACGGCATCATCTTCTGCAACCGCAAGCGCGATGTGGCGACGCTGTTCCGTTCGCTCGACAAGCACGGCTTTTCGGTCGGCGCACTGCATGGCGACATGGACCAGCATTCGCGCACGCAGATGCTCGACGGGTTCCGCAACAACAAGATCCAGCTTCTGGTTGCGTCCGACGTGGCCGCGCGCGGGCTCGACATTCCCGATGTGAGCCATGTGTTCAATTTCGACGTGCCGATCCACGCCGAGGACTATGTCCACCGGATCGGCCGGACGGGCCGCGCAGGGCGCGCCGGCAAGGCGTTCACGCTGGTCGACCGGTCGACGATGAAATATCTCGAATCGGTGGAAAAGCTGATCGACAAGTCGCTCGATTATGTCGACGGTATCGCCGCGCCCGCCGAAACCGACGGCGAGGAGGAGGACACCCGGCCGGCGCGCGGGCGCGGACGGGACCGCAAGCCGCGCCGCGACAAGATCAAGGACGACAATCGCCAGCGCGCCAAGGCCGCCGATGAAGCGGTCGAAGACACGGCGCCGGCCAAAACCGACAATGAGGCGCGGCCGGCTGCGGCTGCCAATGACGATGATGCCGGCAAGGGCGACAAGCGCGGCCGGTCGCGGTCGCGCAAGCCCGAGCGCGACAAGTCCGAGCGCGGCGATGCGCCGGTCGGCTTCGGCGACGACATTCCTGCCTTCATGATGATCGGCCGCTAAAGCGTTCGGTCAAAGGCCGAGCGCCATCCCCACGCCCAGAACGCCCAGCGCGCCGAACACACCCACGGCGACGCGCTGACCGAAACCCAGGAAGGCGGCAAAGCCGGCCCCGCCGGCTGCAAGCCGCAGACCAAGCGACGTCTGCTCGGCCAGCGCGCCGCTCGGAAAGACGATCAGCTGGGCGATGACCGCGGCGACGAGCGCGGTGGCCACGGCGCGAACGAAGACCAGCACTTCCGACGTTTCGCGGATCCGGTTGCCGAGCAGCACGCCCATAACACGCCACAGGTCGGTTGCGATCCATCCGGCGATCAGGATGAAGGCGATCTGCCACCACAGCGCATCGATCGATTGGTAGGTCATGTCCGGTTGGCCCACCAGCGCGCAAAGCGCCCTGCCCCGTATGCCGCAACGCCAGCCACCGCGCCGGTCGCCAGAAGGCTGACGCCTGGCACGAGCAGGTAGAAGACCGGCCCCAGCAGCAGGCCGAAAACCATGGCCAACTGGCCGGACGGCTCGCGCGCGGACCCCCACAGCGAGCACAGGAAATAGACCGGCGTGAGGAAGAACAGCGCGCCGAGCAGCTCCGCCGGCAAGCTGGGCGCGAGCCCGTAGACCACGCCGACCAAAGCGGTGTTGCCGAGCGTCAGCGTGCAGCCGAGGCCTGCAAAGAACGTCGTCCGCCACTCGCGCGGAACCTCCCGGAACCGATCCATCGCGATGACCCAGGCTGTGATCGCTACGAAATGCGACAGGAAGACCAGCACCCAGGTGCGCGTGCCCTTCGTGCGCATTTCGGGAACGATCGAGACGACCATCGGCATCAGCCGCGCCGACGACAGGGTCACGGCGATGAAGGCGGCGGCCAGCGACGCGCCGGACTGGATGGCGGCGGCCAGGACGAATTTGGCCGGCAGCGCCCAGATCATCAGCGTCATCAAAACGACCTGCCCGGCGGGAAGGCCGGCCTCGCGTGCAAAACCGGCAAAGCCGACAAATGCCGTCATCAGCATCAGGGCAGGCAGCGAAAAGACCTCGCGCAGGCCGCGTCCGTACCAGTACCAAAATCCGCCGCTGGCAATCGGCTCATCGTGTTTCGGCACGGCACTTTCGGTCATTGGATCGCGCTAGCACGGATGGACGCGCGCGACGAGATGCCAAGACGAACGAACGGTTCGCAGCGCCGAGCGATCTGGTCGGCCCAAAGAAAAACCCGCCCGAAGGCGGGTTTTCCCTAACCGGTATTGCCGGTGGCTATTTGCGCGGCACGCGGGGCACCGCCGAGCGGGAGGCCTTGGCTTCGCCGGAATCGCCGCCCTTGCCGGGCGCCGCAGCGGAGCTGCCGCCATCGCCCTTGGTCGACGGCTTGCTGGCGGCGGGCTTGGCCTTGGTCGTCGCGGTCTTGGCCTTGGCGCGCGGTTTGCGCTTGGCCGGCGTCTCCCGCTTGGGCTTGACCGGCACCTCATCGGCGACGGCCTCGAGCTGGAGCTTCTCCTCGCCCAGTTCGTCCTTGGCGACGGTGACCTTGACGGTGCCGCCGGTCTTGAGCTTGCCGAACAGCACCTCGTCCGCGAGCGGCTTCTTGATCTGCTCCTGGATGACGCGCCCGAGTGGCCGCGCGCCCATGCGCTCGTCATAGCCCTTGTCGGCCAGCCAGGCGACGGCAGCCTTGTCGAGATCGAAGGTGACGCCGCGCTCGGACAGCTGCGCCTCGAGCTGCATGACGAACTTCTGCACCACCTTGTGGATCACCGGCACCGGCAGCGGACCGAACGGGATGATCGCGTCGAGTCGGTTGCGGAACTCGGGCGTAAACAGGCGGTTGATCGCCTCCATGTCGTCGCCTTCGCGCCGCGACGAGCCAAAGCCGATCGCGTTCTTGGTCATTTCGGCGGCGCCCGCATTGGTCGTCATGATCAGGATGACGTTGCGGAAGTCGATCTGCTTGCCGTTGTGGTCGGTCAGCTTGCCGTGGTCCATCACCTGCAACAGGATGTTGAACAGGTCCGGATGGGCCTTTTCGATCTCGTCGAGCAGCAGCACGCAATGCGGATGCTGGTCGACGCCGTCGGTCAGCAGGCCGCCCTGGTCGAAGCCGACATAGCCGGGCGGGGCGCCGATCAGGCGAGAGACGGTGTGCCGCTCCATATACTCGCTCATGTCGAAGCGCAGCAGTTCGACGCCCATCGAGCTTGCGAGTTGCTTGGCGACTTCGGTCTTGCCGACGCCGGTGGGGCCGGAGAACAGATAGGCGCCGATCGGCTTTTCGGGCTCGCGCAGGCCGGCGCGGGCCAGCTTGATCGAGGACGCCAGCGCCTCGATCGCCAGATCCTGACCGTAGACGACGCGCTTGAGTTCCTTTTCGAGGTTCGCAAGCACCTTCTCGTCATCCTTGGAGACCGACTTGGGCGGAATGCGCGCCATCGTTGCGATCGTCTCCTCGATGTCGTGGACATTGATCGTCTTCTTGCGCTTCTTGGCGGGCACCAGCATCTGCCGCGCGCCGGTCTCGTCGACCACGTCGATCGCCTTGTCCGGCAGCTTGCGGTCATTGATGTAGCGCGCCGACAGTTCGACCGCCGACTTGATGGCATCGTCGGAGTATTTGACCTTGTGGAAGTCCTCGAAATAGGGCTTGAGCCCCTTCATGATCTCGACCGCGTCGTCGAGCGTCGGCTCGACCACGTCGATCTTCTGGAACCGGCGCACCAGCGCGCGGTCCTTTTCGAAGAACTGGCGGAACTCCTTGTAGGTCGTCGAGCCGATGCAGCGGATCGCACCGTTCGACAGGGCCGGCTTGAGCAGGTTGGACGCATCCATCGCCCCGCCGGACGTCGCGCCGGCGCCGATCACGGTGTGGATCTCGTCGATGAACAGGACGGCGCCGTCAAATTCTTCCAGTTCCTTGACGACCTGCTTGAGCCGTTCCTCGAAATCGCCTCTGTAGCGCGTGCCGGCGATCAGCGCGCCCATGTCGAGCGAGAAGATGGTGGCGTCGGCCAGCACTTCGGGCACATCGCCCTCGACGATCCGCTTGGCGAGCCCTTCGGCGATCGCCGTCTTGCCGACGCCCGGATCGCCGACATAGAGCGGGTTGTTCTTGGAGCGGCGGCACAGCACCTGGATCGTCCGGTTGATCTCGTCGGTGCGGCCGATCAGCGGATCGATCTTGCCGCCCCTGGCCTTGGCGTTCAGGTCGATGCAATAGGCGCCGAGCGCGCTTTCCTGCTTCTTTGCGCCCTCTTCGCCCTCGTTCGCCTGGTTGGGTTCGTTCTCGTCGTCGGCGCCGTTCGGCGTGCGGGCGACCGAGGCGCCGGGGCGCTTGGCGATGCCGTGGGCGATGTAGTTGACCGCGTCATAACGGGTCATGTTCTGCTCTTGCAGGAAATAGGCGGCGTGGCTCTCGCGCTCGGCGAAGATCGCCACCAGCACATTGGCGCCGGTGACCTCCTCGCGGCCCGAGGACTGCACATGGATCACCGCGCGCTGGATGACGCGCTGGAAGCCGGCGGTCGGCTTTGCGTCCTCATCATAGCCGGTGACCAGATTGGACAAATCGTTGTCGACATAATCCGACAGCGTCTTGCGCAACGCATCCATGTCGACATTGCACGCATCGAGCACGGCGCGTGCATCCTTGTCGTCGATCAGCGCGAGCAGCAGATGCTCAAGGGTTGCATATTCATGTTCGCGTTCATTGGCGAAGGTCAGTGCCTGGTGCAATGCGCGTTCGAGTGTCTGGGTAAAGGCCGGCATTATTTCTTCTCCATCACGCATTGCAGGGGATGCTGGTTCTGGCGGGCGAAATCCATCACCTGGGTCACCTTGGTCTCGGCAACCTCATAGGTGTAGACGCCACATTCGCCGACGCCGTGATTGTGCACATGCAGCATGATGCGCGTGGCCTGATCACGGTCTTTCTGGAAAAAGCGCTCGAGCACATGGACGACGAATTCCATTGGCGTGTAGTCGTCGTTGAGCAGGAGCACCCGGTAGAGGCTTGGTTTCTTGGTCTTTGGTTCGGTTCGGGTGATGACCGAGGTGCCGCGGCCGGTGCCGCCTTCGCGGTCATCGTCGCCGTCCGCGGCCCTGATCGGCGACATGTTCGTGCGGGCGGGCACGCGGTGTGGTTTGCTGGTATCCGGCAAGCTGTCCATGATCTCCGGTTTCGATTGGTCGTCTGGATTAACCGGTGGGTCCGATTCCCGCATTATCTAGGTCGTATTCAGCGCATTTTAAGTCCCTGCCATCGAGGCGCAAGACACAGATCGGTGTCAATGGGCGGCCGATTTCGCTTGCCGCGTCCGGCAACGAAAAAGACCCGCGTGCCGGAGCGCGCGGGCCTGATGGCGGCGCAGCGTTGAAACGCGCGCCCGATTCGACACAGCTTACTTGGTGGCTGCGGGAACCATGCCTTCGAAGGGCTTGTAGGCTTCTTTGGCCAGATCGGTGTAGAGTTCACCCATCTTGGTGGCCTGAGCGACCAGACCTTCATAAGCCGACTTGGCGTATTCGGTCTGAACTTCCATTGCCTTTTCCAGCGACTTGGAAGCGGCCAGCTTTTCAAAAGCGGCGGCACCGGCTTCATAGGAAGCCTTCGAATAGTCGGTGGCTTCGGTGGCGATGGCCTGCATGCCCTTGGTCACGGCCGCATAGCTCTTCAGCGAGCTGTCCATCATTTCCTTGTTGGATTTGCTCATATCTTCAAATGCTTTCATCATGGTGTCACCTGTCGGTTTGCATTTATCTCGGGTCGGCATCGTGACGCGATGACGTCCTCGCACCCTGTATAGTGTGCAGTGCACAAAAATGCAAGAATTTTTTTGCATTGCACAAAAAAACTTTGACACAAATCGAACAGGTCCGGTCAAGGAACCGGTTACCATAAACCGATTGGTAACGCTGGCGCCGTAGCCTCTTTCCAGTTTGCCGGCCCGTCCGGCCGTGTGCGTCCCGTGTAACGAGAGTGCCCGCCCGTGTTCCAGTCACCCCTCGCCTCCGGCGCTGCGTTTGCGCCTGTCCGCCTTGTCGCTCTTGCCCTGATTGCGCTGTGCCTTGCCGCTGCGGCCCCCTCGCCCGCCAAGGCCAATCCCAAATATGCCGGCATCGTCATCGACGCCAACACCGGCGAAACGCTTTATGCCTATCGCGCCGACAGCCAGCGTTTTCCCGCATCGCTGACCAAGATGATGACGGTCTACATGATGTTCGAGGCCATGGAGCAGGGAAAGCTGCGGCCCAACACGCCGATCCGCATCTCGCCCCACGCGGCATCCATGATTCCCTCGAAGCTCGGCATACGGGCCGGCGGTACGATCACGGCGGAAAACGCCATCAAGGCGCTGATCACCAAGTCGGCCAATGATGTCGCCGCCGCCGTCGCCGAACATCTTGGCGGCACCGAAAGCGAATTCGCGCAGATGATGACGCGCAAGGCACGGCAGCTCGGCATGAGTTCGACGACGTTCCGCAACGCGTCCGGACTGCCCAATTCACGCCAGGTGACCACGGCGCGCGACATGGCGCGCCTCGGCATCGCCTTGCAGGAGCATTTCCCGCGCCAGTTCGATATGTTCTCGACGCGCTCGTTCCGCTATGCGGGCGTAACCCACCGCAACCACAACCGCCTTCTTGGCCGCGTGCGTGGCGTCGATGGCATCAAGACCGGCTACATCCGCGCGTCAGGTTTCAACCTGGTGACGTCGGTCAACCACAATGGCCGCTCGATCGTCGCCGTGGTGATGGGTGGGCGCACCGGCGCATCGCGCAACGCCCAGATGGAAAAGCTGGTCGCCCAATACTTCCCCAAGGCATCGCGCCGCGATCGCGGCCCGCTGATCGCGCGCAACGGTTCGACCAATTTCGCCATCCGCGGCGCGTCGATCGCCTCGATCCCGCTCAACCGCCTGCCAATTCCGGCCTTCACCGACCGGGTGGCGGAGGCCGCGCCCGCGCCGGCCGCGCCCGTCGTCGCCTATGCGCCGACACCGCAGCCGCGCGCCAGCGTCGACCCGATCGTGACCGCAACGGCCGAAAGCCGTTCGGGCTGGGTGATCCAGATTGCGGCGCTCGAAACGCAGGACCAGGCGGTCGATTATCTGCGCGTCGCACAGGCCCGCGCGCCGGGCATTCTCGGTGCACGCGAGCCGTTCGTCGAGCAGTTCGTCAAGAGCGGCGTGACCTACCACAGGGCGCGCTTTGCCGGCTTTGCGTCGAAGTCGCAGGCATGGAACGCCTGTTCGGCGCTCAAGAGCCACAACTATTCGTGCCTCGCCTACCAGAACTAGTGCCGCGGCATTTCGCCGTCCCGTTTTTGTATCCGCGTATCAGGACCGCTCGCCATGAAGCCGCAACAGAAAATCCTTCGCCTCGTTAATCCGCTGCGCCAAAAAGGAACTGCCGCCGAGATCGGGGTGGACGCGCTGCATCAGGCTGCGATGGGCCTTTCGGATCGCGGCAAGATCCGCCCCCGGCTCAAGGCCAAGGATCTGGTAGGCCTCCTGCTCTGTCATGGCGCCCGCCTCAGCCGTGCTTCTCTGCCGCGCGGTGTCGTCCGGCTCCGCGTCGTCGCGCCAGCCGGGCATGCGGCGGTCAAGATACGCCTCCAATAGCTGCGCGCTTTCGGCGTCGTCGCGCACCTCGCGCGCAAGCTCCAAAAGTTCGGCTTCGCTCATCTGGTTCAACTGGCGGCCCTCGAACGTGCCGCCGAGCACCATGCCGTCCATCTCTCCAGTATCGTGGTCGAGCATCATTTCCAGCATGGCGCTGCGTACTGTCGATCGCTGACCCGGCGTTGCGCGAACGCTGGCGGTCCGCCGCGCCCGGGCAAACAGCGCGTAGGCGAAAAACAGAAGCGGCGCGCCAAGTCCGATCCGGCCCGTCAGGGTCATGATGACGCCGAGCAGCGCGACCAGGGCCGGCACCACATAGCGCAACGTCCGGGCAACCTTTTCGGGCGGCGTGACGACGAAGTACCAGACCGCCAGCCCTGCGAAACCGAGCGTTCCGATCAGCACGAGCAGCGCGTTCATCGTCCCGACGCGCCTCCCTTGAGCTGGGTCAGGAGCCGTTTGTCGGACCCCGTGCCCCGCGCTTCCAGCGCCTTCAGCCCGCCGGTCGCATAGACGGCGATGGATTTGAGGAGGTCGGCAAGCACCCTGGGCGAGGACGGATCGAAGCGGAACCAGCCGCCGCGGGTCAGCCGGGCAATTTCGCGGAACACCAGCTCAGCGCCCGGCTCGCGGCCTTCCTGGAAGATGAAGGCGGGCACGCCGCGTACGCCGAGCTGGCCGGCCACATGGCCCAGCGCATCGGCGTCCTCCTCCATCGCATCGCCAATATAGATCAGCGCCGAGATCGGCGACTTGCCGTGCTCCTTGAGCGCATGCTTGAGTACCTTGCCGATCTGGGTGCGGCCGGCGCGGCAGTCGATCCGGGTCATCATGGTGCCGAGCTCGCGGCCGTTTTGCGCCCAGCGCGAGGCGCGGCATTCGCCGAATCCGCGAAAATAGACAAGCTGCATGGTCAGCGCGGTGGAACTGGCGACGCTCTCGAACATCTCGGCCTGGATGGCGGACGCCATGTCCCAAGTCGGCTGGCGGCTCATCGTGGCGTCGAGCGCCAGCACGATGCGGCCGGCGCCGCCTTCGCCCGGTTTGACCGCCCTGGCCGCGTTAAGGAACGCGGCGATGTCGCCCGACGACGACGTCTTGGCTTCGGGCCTGCGTTCCGATCGATCGGTTCTGACCGGTGATTTGCTCATGATGCCAAGATGGCGTTCTGTGCGGCGGATGCAAGATGGAATGCGTTCGATCGATTCCGGCCAAATTGGCGCACCGTGAGCTTACAGGAGCCCAAGTTCCGACAGTTCGGCGCGCATCTCCGACGGCATTTCGGCGAGCGCTGCGGCAGCGTCGGACAGATCACGCGGTGCATCCTCCGCTTTCAGATAGCGCCAGCCCTGGAACGGACGGCGCGGCTGCGGCACGGTCAGAACCAGTTCGGGATCGAGCACCAGATCGCAGCGCGATATGCCCTGGGCATCGACGAACGGCCTGATGTCGACAATGCGCTGACGGCTCTGCACCTTGCCCTTGGTCACCCAGTAGAGCGACCCGGTGCCGATGATCTCGTCGGCGCGTTTGGGGATCATCCGTGTGGTGTGTGTCTGTTCGGGCGGCAGGCCGGCCTTGCGCAGCGCGTCAATGCGCGCCTCGATCCAGGCGCGGTGATCCTCGACGCTCTCTGCGCCAACGCACAGTTTGAGAAGGTGCAGGGCCATCGGTCCAATGTGGCGTCTCGTCGGCGCGGATCAATGCGGCATGTGCCGCCATCCACAAGCCTGTTCAGCAGGCCGGCAGATTGACGGCCAGGCCCGCCAGCGATGTTTCCTTGTAGCGCACATCCATGTCGGCGCCGGTCTGGCGCATCGTCTCGATGCAATTGTCGAGCGGCACCACATGCTCGCCATCGCCGTTGATCGCCAGCGAAGCGGCAGTGACCGCCTTGACCGCTGCGATGCCGTTGCGCTCGATGCAGGGCACCTGGACAAGCCCGGCCACCGGGTCGCAGGTCATGCCCAGATGATGCTCAAGCGCGATTTCCGCCGCGTTTTCGATCTGCTGCGGCGTGCCGCCCATCACCGCGGCAAGACCGGCGGCGGCCATCGCGGCAGCGCTGCCCACCTCGCCCTGACAGCCGACCTCGGCCCCCGAGATCGAGGCATTGTGCTTGATCAGCCCGCCGATCGCCGCCGATGTCAGAAGGAAGGTGCGCACATCCTCCTTCGTCGCGCCCTCGTGGAACTGCGTCATGAACTTGATCACCGCCGGCACCGTGCCTGCCGCGCCGTTGGTGGGCGCGGTGACGACGCGGCCGCCCGCCGCGTTCTCCTCGTTGACAGCCATCGCATAGACCGTCAGCCAGTCATTGGCGGCCATCGGATTGAAACGGTTGGACTTGGCGCGCTCGGTGAGTTTTTCTGCCAGGACGGCGGCACGGCGGCGCACCTTGAGCCCGCCGGGCAGTTCGCCGGTCGCCTTCATGCCGCGCTCGATGCAGCCCTCCATCGCCTCCCAGACCGCATCGAGACGCGCATCGAGATGGCTGTCGGGCGCGCGGGCGAGCTCGTTGGCGCGCTTCATCTCGGCGATGGACAGGCCGGATTTGTCCGCCATCTGCAACATCTCGGCGGCGCTCGCGAACGGGTACGGCACGTGATCGTCCTCGGCCCTGGCGCCGTAGACCGTCGTCTCCGCAATCTCGTCCTCGCCGACGATGAAGCCGCCGCCGACGGAATAGTAGCCGCGCCTCAAGAGCAGCCGGCCGTCATCGTCATAGCCATAAAACGCCAGACCGTTGGCGTGGCCGGGCATCGCCTCGACCTTGTCCAAGACCAAATCCGCATCGGCATCGAAGGCGTAGCCGGAATGGCCGGGCGGTTCGACGCGTCCGGTCGCCCGCACCCTGTCGAGGATCGCCTGCATCGCGTCGGGATCGACCGTATCGGGCCGTTCGCCGGCCAGACCGAGAATCACCGCGCGATCGGTGGCATGGCCGACGCCGGTAAAGGCGAGCGAGCCGTGCAGCGAAACGCCGAGCCGCGTCACGACGGCGCCGGACGGTCTGGGCCAGGCATCGGACTTCAACTCGTCGAGAAACCGCGCGGCGGCGCTCATCGGTCCCATCGTGTGCGACGAGGACGGGCCGATGCCGATCTTGT